GGCCACATTTTAAAAGATTATCAAAGAAGTTACAGTATATCAGTACAGTGTGATCACTAGAAATCAATAACAGAAAGATAACTAGAAAAACCTCAAGTGTTTTCAAGTGAAGAAACATTTATAAATAGCATATGGGCCAAAAAAGAAATGATAACGGACATTAGAAATATTTAGCACTAGGGGCGCCTGGGTGGCGCAGTCGGTTAAGCGTCCGACTTCAGCCAGGTCACGATCTTGCGGTCCGTGAGTTCGAGCCCTGCGTCGGGCTCTGGGCTGATGGCTCGGAGACTGGAGCCTGTTTCCGATTCTGTGTCTCCCTCTCTCTCTGCCCCTCCCCCGTTCATGCTCTGTCTCTCTCTGTTCCAAAAATAAATAAACGTTGAAAAAAAATTAAAAAAAAAAAAAAGAAAAAAAAATATTTAGCACTGAATGATAAAGAAAGTACCACATGTCTCAAAACTTGTAAGATACAAGTAAAACAGTACTTACTAGGAAAATAATAGTCATTAATAAACTGGAAAGGAAGACAAGTAAAAATGAGCTAAGTATCTGTCTCAAGAAAGAATAGTGAAATTATGTGCAAATAATAGCAAAGTAAGCAAAGAAAGGAGAAGGAAGGAAATAGAGTAACAGAGTGGAACTGGTGAACTTTTTAAAATTTAGTAGAAATACTCACCAGAGAAAATCTTGTCTTTGAAAAGACAAATAAAAATGAAAAACACTCATATTGATTAAGAGAATGCCCAAGCAAACAATATTCAGAATGAAAAGGGGTGACATAACTTCAGATGCAAGGGGTAGAGATTATAGCTTTCCAGAAGAAGTAGAGTAGGTGGTTTGGCCCAACACTTCAACAGAGAATAATTAGAAAAGCTAGAAAAAATATAAATATTTAATGTAAGATATAAAAATTTGTGTTTGAAGGAATTCGAGAAATAAGGTAATAAGTAAATTGCAGGGCCAAGATCTATGAAAGGAAGAGAAGCCAGAAATGTGAGCCCACAGCTTTAGCCAAATGAGTTAAATAAGCTCTAGGGTAGAAATCAAAGGTTTAGAAAATAAAATAATGTAAATCACTACATTAACATATTGAAGGAAAAACCTAGGATAATTTCAGTAAGTGTTGGAAAACTTTTATGCAATTGAACATATATCAATGAAAAAAACAGCAAATTTGAAGTAGAAGAAAATTTCTTAATCCAATAACAAATCTATCCCCCACAAAAGAAAAACAAACAAAAAAAACTCTACAGCAAACATTGTACTTAATGATGAAACAGTGAATGTATTCTTGAAGATCAGGAATGAGAGGCATGCCTGCTATAGTAACATTTCTATTTAACATTATACCGAAAGTTCTAGCCAGTGCAGCAAGGAAAAAAGTATTAAAAAAAGAACAAAGCATTTGCTTGTAGATGATATGATTATCGACAAAGAAAACCTAAAGTAACCTACAGGTAAAGTATTAAAATAGCAAGATTAATGGATAAATTATTTTAAAATCAATTGCATTTCTGTACACCAACAACAAAGCAAAATTTAAAAAAGAATATTTACAAAAGTATGAAAAAAATGGTCAAGTAACCACGAATAAATCTAAGAAAAGATAGGTATGACCCATATGGAGAAAAATCTCCATGGTAAATGGAAATACACCATGTTCATGGATTGAAAGACTCCATATTATAAAGATTTCAATTCTATGTAAACTTTTATATAGATTTATTATAATCTGAAAATCCATAGCTGGACTTGTGTGTGTGTGTACATAACTTGATAAGTTGATTTGAAATGTATAAGGATGTTTAAAGGCCCAAGAATTGCTAAGATACTCTTGCTAAGAAAATCTTGAATATGTGGGAAGGTGTATATGTTACTGATGGATGATTCAATACTGAATGATACAAATTCCACTGAATTAATTTGGAAAGTCAGTGCATCCTAGTAAAAATACTAACAAGGTTTTTTAGTAGGACCTGACATGCTATATTTAAAATTCCTCAGTTGGTTAAACGTCCTACTGTTGATTTCAGTTCGGGTCATGATCTCACATTTCATGAACTGTCATCATGGAGCCTGCTTTTGATTCTCTCTCTTCCTGTCTCTCTGCCTCTCCTTCACTTGTGCACAGGCTGTCTTGCTCTCTCAAAATAAATAAATTAATTTTAAAAAAAGCAATGAGGAGATCTTGCTTTACCACATAGAAAACCGTTCAGAAATTGTAATAATGTGGTGGTATTGCATAGAATGGGGTGTAGAATCCGGAAACAAAACGTATATGATAAAGATCACGTTTCAAACCAATGAGAAAAGTGTAGGCTTTGATATTGGGACAATTGATGTGTACTTTAAAAAGTTACAAATCATGCCATGTACAAAAATTATTTGTATTAAAACAAAACAATGAGTATCAGTTTTATAGCTATCTTACAGTGTTTAAGGTAAAGACTCTCCAAGAATCAGCGATTCGTTTACTTTTATGCACAAAAAGGAGTAAAGTTCACTCTGTGACTCTTCTGAATAACAACAAAAAATGGCTAGCTTTAAAATTATGGATATTAATTTGAACATTTTTACTCATGTTGATTAACCAGCACAAAAATCCTGAAGTCCAGATATTTCAAAAAAGGTTTTGCCGGGGAGCCTAGGTGGCTCAGTTGGTTAAGCATCCAACTTCCACTCAGGTCATGATCTCACGGCTTGTGGGTTCGAGCCCTGTGTCATGCTCTGTGCTGACAGCTCAGAGCCTGGGGGCCGCTTTGGATTCCATGTCTCCCTCTCTCTCTGCCCCTCCCCTGCTTGTGCTCTGTCAGGCTCTCTCAAAATAAACATTAAAATTTTTTTAGAAAGGGTTCCTACGGACACCCTTTAAAGGACAATTTCATGATTACTAAATTTGGAAAAGATTTCAATTTAGATTTTTTCCCTCTCCTACTTTATCTAAAAAGTTTGTTCTAAATAGAAAATTTTGGGGGCGCCTTGGTGGCTCAGTCGGTTAAGCTTCCGACTTTGGCTCAGGTCATGATCTCGCGGTTCATGAGTTCAAGCCCTGCGTCGGGCTCTGTGCTGACAGCTCGGACGGAGCCTGGAGCCTGTTTCGGATTCTGTGTCTCTCTCTCTCTCTCTGATCCTCCCCCGTTCATGCTCTGTCTCTCTGTCTCAAAAATAAATAAACGTTAAATAAATAAATAAATAAATAAATAGAAAATTTTGGCTATTTAAAATTGTCTTGGGGGTACACCTGGGTGACTCAGTCAGTTGAGTGTCCGACTCTTGATTTTGCCTCAGGTCATGATCCCAGGATTATGGGATCAGGCCCCACATCTGGCTCCATGCTGAGCATGGAGCCTGCTTGAGGTTCTGTCTCTCTTTCTGCCCCTCTCTCCTGCTCAAGCACGTGTGTTCTCTCTCTCTCAAATAAATTTTTTTTTTTTTAATTAAAATTCTGTCTTGGGGCGTTCTGGTGGCTTAGTCGGTAGAACATGTGGCTCTTGATCTCAGGATTGTAAATTCAAGCCCCATGTTGGGTGTAGAGATTACTTTAAAAAATTAAAAACATTTTTATTTTATGTATTTTCATGTTAAGTGTACAAATTCCATTTGTTACTGGAACTATAAATTGAGACCAGGCCTGCAGTTTCAAAGACTTAAGATTTCACTTGCTAGATCTGAATCTGAAAGCAGTGCCCACAGAAAACTAAGACTTAAATAAAACACAGTTGCTTTTCAGAAATCAAAATGCAACTTATAAAAGGTTTATAATTATATAACTTTGTAATAGGAAAGGGCTGAAACAAGAGACAATACTAAAAACTATAAAGGAAAAGATTAGGTTTTATTTCATCTAACTGGTTTGGTAGGATATATGCCAAACCTTTTTCAGTACATTTTAATAGATATTGGTAAAGAAATACATAATTTTGTTACATATAATTTTTTTTCCTAAGTTGCCTCATCAATGCATGCTTTTCTGCAACCAGCTTTTCTCATTTAGAAATGTGTTTTAGAGTTCTTGCATATCCACATAAAACTTACCCCTTTCTTTTTATTTTTTTTTTTAATTTTTTTATTTTTAATTTTTTTTTCAACGTTTTTTATTTATTTTTGGGACAGAGAGAGACAGAGCATGAACGGGGGAGGGGCAGAGAGAGAGGGAGACACAGAATCGGAAACAGGCTCCAGGCTCCGAGCCATCAGCCCAGAGCCTGACGCGGGGTTCGAACTCACGGACCGTGAGATCGTGACCTGGCTGAAGTCGGACGCTTAACCGACTGCGCCACCCAGGCGCCCTACCCCTTTCTTTTTAAATGTTGCACCATATTGCAAACTATTATGTACCATGGCTTTATAGAATCAGTCATTCCTCTTTCATGTACTTTTAGGTTACTTTCAATTTTTCATTACAATGAAGCATATCTTTATGTTTCTTTGTATTTATAAATGATTATTTCTTTAGATTAAATTCCCAGAAAAAATTTCTGAGTCAAAAGTTATGCACATGTAAAAGTTTGATAGATACAAGGTTGGCCGTTTAGCTCAGCTGGTTAGAGTGTGGTGCTAAAAGTTTGATAGACACAGGTACTCTCCAAACCTAAACTGTACCAGTTTATGCTTCACTATCATATTTGAGAGTACCATTTCCTACTATTGCCAACAGCAGATAATTTCAATCTTTTAAATACTTGCTACTGGGGTGTCTGGGTGGCTCAGTCAGCTAAGTGTCTGACTTGATTTCAGCTCAGGTCACGATCTCAATGATGAGATCGAGCCCCATGTCAGGTTCTGTGCTGAGCATGGAGCCTGCTTGGGATTCTCTTTCATACTCTCCCTCTCTGCCCCACCCTCCCTCAAAAAAAATTAATAAAACTTTAAAAATAAAAAATATTTGCTACTAACATGGGTAAAAAAAGGTTATTCATTATAGTTTGTATGATTATAAATAAATATCAATAATGAAAGAATGCTAGAAAACTAAAGAGAAATGTGTCATTTGCTTTCAGGTCAGTGCTGACTGTTGCTTGTGAACAGACTGAAGTTCTGCTTTTTGACCCTATATCTTCAAAGCACATAAAAACACTTTCTGAAGCTCATGAAGACTGTGTAAATAATATCAGGTCAGTATTTTAGTGAAATAGTGAAGTTTATTAATGTGACCCAAAATATTCTGTTTTGGAAGTTAATGAAAATTGGTAATGTCTTGCCCAGCAGTGCTAGATGATATGCATTTGTGAACTGTGAATTTTATCCCTTGTGAAACTTATCCCTTTAATTATAAAACTTACTATTAACCATTTTGGATAAGAATTTTTCTGAAATGCATTTTTCACTTCCATATGATTTTATCTTTTCTCTTCACATATTAGGGTCATCATTATGAACCTCAGCCATGCATTACAATAGTCCTCCAATGTCTTTGGGCTAATGATCTGTGTAGAATTATGGCAATCCCATTACTTAGCCTCTCTCACCTATCCCATCCCCATTCCAAACTATTGAGGGGGAAAAACACATTTGCACAGAGAACTTCTTTATAAAAGCATGTTGGAAGCTCCTTAAATTCTTAATAATGTGGGAAGTAAATAACAGTTGAACAGCTTGGTGGATTAATATGCAGTCATTAAAATGATGGTCATAGGGACTACATATCAACATGGACAAATGCTTGGGACAATATAGGTAAAAATCATGATAAAAGTTGTTAAAAATATGAAATGCAGAAGATAAGGAAATATTTTTCAATGCTAACATAGGATGGGTTAGAATGAATGGATAATGAGTAATTTTCTGTTTTCTAAACATTATGTAATAAGATTATATTCCCTTTATAACGATTACTGTTACTGTTCAAAAAAAAAAAAAACGTGGAAATTGCTTCTAGTCACAGTGACTTACTGAGTTTTGATGTAACCTCTATGCTCTAAACACACTGAACAATAAATAGCACAAAAGATATAGTGAGGCTCTGAAACAACATAAACATTTTCGTGGGCCAGAAATGGAACACAGGGAAGCTGTTATAGGTCTGAAACTGCAAGCCCACTGAGTTTTCCATCTGGTATTGATGTGTGGTAGTTTTAGTTCCTGTCAAGAATCAGAAGTACCCAAGTACTTTATGTGAGGCAGGAACCAGAGCCAGAATTACTACACAAAGCCAGGCATTTGACTAGAGTGCCTATCCCATTTGTGAAAGGCTGAAAAAAGGAAAAAGCTATTCACTACCTGAGGCTGTGGGTTTTGGCTGATTAAGACACATCCTCCTGGACTGACTCAGTAATGAAGCCATCACTGAGTCAGTGATTGAATGTATATGTGTGATAGCTCCAATATCATCAGGAAACTGAAGGACTTAATGTCATTATGTGGCCTAATTGTGGATTAGTGGTTCAAAAATCCAAATGGGGGCAACTACAAAACCAGTAAATAGGAGAAGAAAAAAAGTAATTAAAAACCTTTCTTAAAACCTTTCTTACTCAAAATGAGCCTATAACCAAAATGCCAGAACTCATGAAGACATACTAATATCATAAAATCAGCAACTAAAACAAGCATTTTTTTCTGGATGAAGTTAATTTTATGGAGTAGTCCAACGAAGACTTTATTTTTAAAAATAAATTATTTATTTTTTTTTGACTAGGTAATACATGCACGTGGTACAAAATTCAAAGGTACAAAAGGGTAAACAGTGAAAAGTAAGTCTATCTCCCACCTCTGTCCCCTAGCCACCCAGTTCCCCTCCCCAGAGGCAACCACTATTACCAGTTTCTTGCTATCCTTTTTGAGATAGTCTATGCATGTACAAGCATACACACACACGTACATACATACACTTTTATATAAATGGTAGCATACTACACACACTATTATATACCTTGGCTTTTCCATTTAATAACATATTTAGAGATTATTCCATGTTAGTACCCATGGGATAATCTTACTCTTTTTAACGGCTGCATAGTATTCCATTGGTTGGGAGAAACTTTAAAGCATTTTTAGGATGCTCAAAGAAATAAGGAATACTTTCCATTTAAAGAGATGAAACGAGAATAGGTTAATCTGGAAAAAACCAACTACAACTCTTAGAAATTAAAAATGTAGTTAGTATATAAAAAACTCAAAAGAGGGGGTAAATATCCTTTACATCATTGATGAGAGAATTAATGGATTGGAAAATACTGAGTACTTAAAAGTCATAGAGGATTGAAAGACTCCAATGTATGTATGATAAGAATTATAGAAAAAGAACATGCAGAGATTGGTGGAGAACTAATTTTTGAAGTTACAAAGGGAGAGAATTTTTAGCATTAAAGAAGGTCCTGAATCCTTGAATCAAAAGTAAACTCTAAATGTCACATAGGTTAAAGATAAATGTACATTGAAACAGGTTGTAGTAAAACCCTATAGAGTATCAAAGATAAAGACAAAATCTTAAAAACCACCAATGTTAGAGGCCAGAATACCTACAGAGGTATAATTCAAGGTTATAACAAAGTTTCTCAACAGTAACAGTTGATGTTAGGAGATTATGAAGTAGTATCTTAAATACTAAGGAAAAATAATGCTCCATGCCATATATCCAGGTAAACTGTCATTCCGTAATGAAGAATTTAATTAGGTGAAATGATAAATGTTATTAATAGCAGGAAGATAATAATTTAGGGTTTTTTGGGGGGTGTATTTAAAACAAAGTTAAAACTAAAAGTCTAGATTTATTTTCTCCTAGTCATATTAAAAAGAAAAAAAGTGAAATTAAATTTTAATGTTTTATTTACCCCAATAGGACTAAAACATTATCATTTCAACATGTAACTGTTTTAACATTTATTAAGATATTTTACTTTCATTTTTGAATGTTGAATTTTCAAAATCCGGTGTTTAACACTTAGAGCACATCCCAATTCAGACTGGCCACATATCAAGGACTCAAAAGCCATATGTGGCTAATGGCTACCAAACTGGACAGTGTAGCTTTGGATCTAACAACAAATAGATTGTGTGTAATATGGTAAGGTTCATGTCAGGTTCAGAGAGAAGGCAGAAATATTAAGTAGCTTCAGACTCTCTCAGAACAATGTGTAATTAAATACATGCAATGAAAAAGAAACTTAAAGGTAACTAATATAGTAGACATATAGTGTATAGATTCCAAATCAGAAGTGGGGGGAAAGGGAATACTGAATACTTGATTGGTTTAGTAGAAAACAGGAAAGCTTTATAAAGTAAATAAACAAATAAAGCAAGCAAAGGGATGATAAGTAGAAAACAAGGAGTAGAAACAGTTCCAAATATATGAGTAGTTCTCAGTAAGTATATATGGATTGATCTTCTTTATTAAAAGACACAGAGACAGCAATTTGAATAAAAACCGAAATCATCTGTATACTTTTTATAGAGATAAAAAGTTGCCCAGAAATGGGAAAAGAAAACTAATATAGATTATCATTATTGGACAGATGGAAGATCAAAAGCCTAAATAAGGATAAAAATACAACAGTACATACTGATAAAAGGAAAAATCAACTCAGAGCATGTAATTAGGAACTTGTATACAATTTGAAATTTGTATATTTCAAAAAACAAAACAAAAAATCCCAAAACAAAATAGATAAGGAATTACAAGTCTATAATCATAGTGAGAGACTTTTAATACACTTCCATCCCAAACTAGTAAATCAAGTAGATAAAAATTAGGCTATAGAAGATTTTAAAATATCTTTTACAACCTTTCTACTAAAAATAGAAATGCAGAATAAGATGTATTTAAAATGTATTTTTTTAATGTATAATTGAGCTGATAAGAAAGAAAGGAATCCTAGGGCCAAAAATGAAATAGAAGCAGGAATGCAAATAAGTAAATTGGTATTCAGCTGGCTTTTACCCTGGAGGCATTTGCCAAATGCTAGTGAGTGACCTTGATCTTCTGTTTTGATATGTATAAGGAGTTACAGTGAACAGGAGAGTTAGTTTTATGGCCAGTTCAAGATGAGGAATCTAGTGGAAAACTCTGCATAAAGCTGGGACTCCCAAGGGCTATACTTACAGCATTAAGGTGATCTAGAAATATACCACGCTGTTCATGTAGAGTATGACCTTGGTAGAGGGATGTCAGAAAATCTCCTCAGTAAGTTTCTAACCACAAGTCTGCCTTCATGCATGTATGGGGCCCAAATTCACACTACTATATGGTCCAAAACCATCTAGCCAGCAATTTAAAATTGAATCCAAGTTGATAGTACTGCCAGGTACTTGCAAAAACAAATGCATATCTTCTCTCAGGGAGAAAACTCAGTATCATAAAGAAGTCAATTCTTTCCAAATTAGTCTATAAATTTAGTTCAGTTTTAATCAAAATACCAGCAGGGGTTTTTTGTTTTTTTTTTTTTTACTTAAAAATTCATATGGAACAGCAAAGTGCCAAGAATATCTGAGACAATTTTGAAGGATGCTAAGATGGTAGTCTTCCTGATATCAAACACAGTCTTAGGACAGGGATTAAGTGCCTAATGGAATGGAGTAGAACTTCCAGAAACAGACCCATGCATATATGGAAATTTGATATATGACAGCAGGGGCATTACAGATTAATGGCAGGGAAATGGAAAAGAGAGAACTGGTTTTATATATATATATATATATATACATATATATACATATATATACATATACATACATATATACATACATATATATGTATGTTAATGTACATATACATACATATATATGTATGTATATGTATATAAACATACATATATATGTATGTATATGTACATTACATACATATATATGTATATATATATGAAAAAACAAAGTAAGATTAGATTTCTATCTCATACCATAGCTAAATATAACTGCCAGTTGAAGACCTAATTATGAAAGCAAACCTTTAAAGCTTTAGAAGAAATACAGAATATATTTATGTTCTAAGGATGAGAAAGGATTTTTTTTAAGATACAAAAAGCATAACTCATTAAAGGATTGCTAAGTTTGACTGCATTAAAATTTAAAACTTCATTTTAACCAAAGACAACAATGTGAGAAGATAACCTATAGGCTGGTGGGAGAACATATTTTCAATGCACATAGCCAAGAAAGGATTAGCATCCAGAATATATAAAAC